TCAAAGTTCAATTAAAACAACTGAGTTTGTAAAACAGTATAATCAACAGGACTGAGTTCAAGTAGTATATCAAAATAGTGAGGAAACAGTGATAAAAATCCACGAAGGATTCAAGTAGTCGGCATGAAGCCCAAAATGTGGCAATAGGCCCAAATCATGTTGGTAACAAATACATTTCAGTCAAATACGCGGTAAAAGTATTAATCGGGACGGACCAAGTCACAATCCCCAGTAGTAAACAACCCCGCGCTCGCCATTAAGCGCGTGTTTCACCTCAATACAGCACTACGTTGTGCAAATCCGGGGTTTCAAACCCCCAGGATATCATTTACTATCATTACTCACCTCAAGCCAGCCAAAATCCTAGCTCGCTATGCCCTTGCCTCGCGAATCGACCTCCTCGCGCGTCGAATCTGATCAAAACCACAACGAATACGTTACAATAGGCTAAGGGAATATAACCAAATCGAAAAGACTCGAAAAATATCGAAATTCACGAAATTGGCATAACCCGATCCACGGGCCCACTTCTCGAAAAATCAGAAAATTAACATCACTGGATTCCTTATCTCGCCACGAGTCTATACATATCAAAATTACCAAAATCGGAGTCCATTTGACCCCTCAAATTCCACTTTGAAATACCAAATTCCCAAGCCCTAGCTTTACCTTCTTTTGATGAATTCCCACAAATTTCCACGTTAATTCTACCATTAAATCACGTATTTGGTCAAGGAACTCACCTCCAATCACACCTAGTCGAAATCCCCTTCAATTTCCGTCCAAGAGCTCTCAAGGTCGATCAAAAATGGTGGAAATGAACTTAAGCTCGCGGAACAAAATGAGCTTTAAAACTCTTCTCTGAACAGTGATTTTCGCATCTGCGGTTCCTTTACCGCATTTGCGGCTACCGTTTCTGCGGTTATACCTCCGCTTCTGCGGATCTTCATTAAGTCCACGACCACTTCTGCGGTCATCTCTCCGCATTTGCGGATCCCGCTTCTGCGGATACCTGTCCGCTTCTGCGGAAATACCAAGGCCACGCCAATTCGCTTCTGCGACTCATCTACCGCATCTGCGGCATCGCAGATGCGGCCCCAAGCCCGCACCTGCGGAAACAGCAAACCTTCCAAGAACTCGCACCTGCATACCTTCCTTCCGCACCTGCGCAACCGCATCTGCGGTTCCTTTTCCGCAGATGCGAAAATACCAGAAACCAGGCACACCAGCAATCTCTTAAGTCCAAATTTCATCCCGATGGCCATCCGAGCTGCTCTATTACCTTCGACCTGATAATGCTGGCCGAGCTACCTAGATCCATGAGTACACGTTTTATTTAAAATGTATTTACGAGGAAAGAGATTACCATTGCATCGTTATAAGGTTGGGACAAGGTCTCGGAGTCCTCCTCGCTGAATATGAGGGCATCTTCGGTACGTATCCTCGGGTTCGCTTTTCTCTGGTGATGGATATTTTTGTCCTTCTCATCACGGGTTCTTGGGGAGCGTCGACGCCCCCTAATTTCATGTGGATAACATGTCGTGGCTCGTTTGCTTCGTTCTTCTTGGCCGCCTCTCTTTCCCGAAACTGATTTTTGGCTTGGTCGCTCAAGAATTCTCTGAGATGACCTTTATTGAGTAGCCTGGCTACTTCCTCTTGGAGCTGGTGACAATCCTCGGTTCTGTGGCCATGCGTGTTGTGAAATTCGCATACCAAGTTATGATTCCTTTGGGAAAGATCCGACTGTACAGGCCTGGGCCATCTGGTATCCTTGATTTTGCCGATGGCGAACACGATGTCTAAAACATCAATGTTGAAGTTGTATTCTAATAGACGTGGTGCCCCTGTTAGCCCAGTGTTCCCGTCGAATCCGGTTTTGTTAATGAGTCCCCGAGGATTCTGCCCTCGGTTGATCAATCGGTCATTGCGAGGCGGGTTGCATCTTGGGGCGTTTCTCATGTCTTCGGTGTATGGCTGATACCTTTCTTTATTTGGCTTCGATTCCTTTGCTAAGAGCCTGCTCGAGTATACTGTGCCCGAAAGGGCTCCTAATTGATCATCTTCGAGCCTGATCTTTGACTGGTATTGGTGGTAGACGTCCGACCAGGTTACGGTAGGATACTCGCTCAGATTCTCTTTTAGCTGCCTTGAGGGCACTAAGCTCCGCTCGTTCAGGCCTTGAGTGAAGGCCTGTACCGCCCAATCGTCGGAGACCGGGGGTAGTTCCATTTGTTCCGTTTGGAAGCGAGATACGAACTCTCGCAGCATTTCATTCTCCCTCTGCCTGATCTTGAATACGTCAGACTTCCTCGTTGCTATTTTGATGGCACCGGCGTGTGCCTTTATGAAGGAGTCTGCCAGCATGGCAAATGAGTCTATGGAGTTGGGAGCTAAGTTGTGGTACCACATCATGGCCCCCTTCGTGAGCGTTTCCCCGAACTTCTTCAGCAAGACGGACTCGATCTCGTCGTATTTTATGTCATTGCGCTTTATTGCGCACGTGTAGGCGGTAACGTGCTCGTTGGGGTCTGAGGTCCCATTGTATTTTGGGAGTTCTGGCATTCTGAACTTCTTTGGAATGGGTTTCGGAGCCGCTTCCTCCGGGAACGGCCGCTACACGAACTTCTTTGAGTCTACGCCTTTCAGGACCGGGGCGCGCCCGGGATTTGGTCGACCCTGGAGTTGTAAGTTTCGACCTTCTTGTCGTTGGCTGCTATCATTTTCTCGCCCGAATCGATCCTTCTGGTAAGATCCTCGAGCATTTTTATGATAGCAGGGTCGGCTATGGAACCATTATTGCTCGATCTCTCCGGTACCTGTTCGGCGGGGGGAGTTGTTCCCGATGCTACGGTGCTGGGAGTTTTTGGGTGGCTTTGCAGTTGAGCGATAGCCAGGTGTTGTGCCTGCAATATTTGAAAAATAACATGAAGGCTAACTTCCCGTTCTTCCCGAGTTGGGGTTTTTTGGGCTTCCTGTTGGTCGCCTCGTTGTATGCTCCTGTCGGTGCGTGAGGTTTCGTGGATCTGCTGTGCGTCGCGCGAGCCCGCGTCCGCTGGAATCGGTCTAGGTACGTTCTCGGGGTTCCGTGGTGACGCACCAACAATTGGAAGACCCACACCATTTTCTCCGTGATTTTTGAGGTCGTCGTTCTCAACTCTGTTTACTGAGCCAGACATATTGACCTGAAATCGAAGATCTTGGACAAGAAAAAGTGTGAAAGATAACTTGCGTTTTGTAACGAAACCAGCAAGAAAACAATCACTGTTATTTTTAGCCTCACGGTGGGCGCCAAACTGTTTACCGTGAAAATGGTAATAACAGTTAAATTTGTTGATGGGACTCTAAAAATACGTGATCTATGTTTATGCTAGTTGTAAAGCAGTTGATGCTATGTGTGTGAAGTTTAAGGACGAAATGCGAGCTAAAATAGAGTTATAATCGAACCGATGAGTTAGCTATTCAGGGCCTCGAGCTTGTCGATTTGGGGCCTCGAGGTCGATTCCCGGGCTCGGGCTCGAGCTATTAGGGGCAGTCGAGGAAGGGCTAACAGTCGTGATATAATTAAAGGAGGCTCTTTATGGCCAATGATAAACAATAAATGAAGAACAAGTATGAAGATAGTAAATAAGAACAACAATATCGAGAGAGTATGTTAGAGAGAAAAGAGAGAGAGTTAGCATATATTTCGTGTAGAATAGTTGGAGCAACAATAGTTCTCTACAAAATGGTAAGAATCCCCTTTATATAGAAGGGGAGACCTTATATGGTACGACATACATTAATTGTAAAGATATGGAGACGGGACAGCTAGATGTGACACCCTGATTCAGGTTCAGAGTAGGCCGGCTAGGCTTTGTCAGACTTAGCTGTGTGTCTTGGGAACTCCCCATTTTTACTCTATCCTCGGTCGATATTCCCTTCAGGCGGGGTGTCGACGAGCTCCGAGGAAGGAGAAATGCATCTTAGCAGCCTCGAGGCTTTGAGGTGACCCTCCGAAATGCCTTAATGACGGGAAATTGGACCCCTCGATTTTGCCGTATACAAGTATGTTATGCAAACCGAATGGTCGTGAATCGGGGTCTCGAGCTGGCCTACGTTGGGCCTCGAGGTCGAGCTAAAGAGCATGACTGGGGACGGTGGATGAAGAACTAACAGTTATGAGGGCCTTGATGGCAGCTCTTTATGATCAATGATGAGTAATAAATGAAGAACAATCAATAAAACACAATAACGTAAGCAATTAAATCAAAGGAGGGACAGTAGACTATGTTTAAGTTGAAGAGCAGAGAATGTTCTTGTTCTTGTATTGAATATCATGTGTGTTACAAAATGATAAGGGTCCCCTTTATATAGGAGGGGAAATCCCAACATGGTACATTTATAATTATTGCAAAGAAATATAGCTGGTACAACTATTTAATGGTCTGGTATAGACCTGTAATGCTCTTGCAGGCGTTGTCAGCTTTGACCACGTGCCTTGGGAATTTTCTCGCTTGTCCATGATAGCCACCGATTTGCTCTGCCCCGAGGTCGAACACAGGGAACCCTCGGGGTCGAACCTCGAGCTGTGCCTCGAGCCTTCTGGAGACGGGCTATGGAATGTCATAATGATCATAAAATCGGACTCTTCGATTTTAGCCGTATATAGATATACTTTCTAATTTAAGGTTTTTATTGCTTGGGAATAATTTATCAAGGGCACGTTGTGAGATTGTATTAAAGTTTCAACCTTTTTTTGAGTTATGAATTAATAATAGAATTCTTTCTCAATTTATGGGCTAGAGAGTGATTCCCAAAAAGACATTTTTCATTGAACAATTTAATCTTACTTTTTTACTATCAGAAATCTGTAAGTTCTCATATAAAATACTAATATTCTTCTAAAAATAAATTAATAGAAAAATTTGGGGCCCAAAAAGTTGAGGCCCAAAGCTTCACCCTTGGCCCGGCACTGCATTTGATAAAGCCAGATCGAGACATGCCAGTATTTTTTTATGTAACTTTGAGAAAGTTGAGCTTTATGATATCTGCCCCGCAGCATGTGTAGGTTGAATATTGCATTCCTGTAGGAGGTCTTGATTTCAGATTTGGAGTTTGGTTGCAAACTCTAAGAGGTTGTTACGGATGTTTTTGGGAACGGTTGCCCGACTTATTTATGTCTACTAATTGCAACTCTTCGTGAATGGTTTTATGTTGGAAGGAAACTGCAAAAAAAAAAAAAAAAAAAAAGACAAAAAATGTGATAAGAGATGCCACGTAGCTACTTATATTTACTTTAGTTTTATGAATTTGTGAATTTCACCTCATTCCAGTTCAAAATTTTCAAGTTCCGCCGGGCAACAGCTTCCACACTGCACGGCGATGGATCCTCCGGAAGGAAGAGTACGGATTTCTTTTTTCACTTATTTCGAATAACAAATTGCAAAGTTTCCACGTTTATATTGATTTAAATTTTCGTTTTCAGGTTTGTAAGCAATTTATCAGGAACTTCAATGCTGGAACTATTTCTTCTCATCACTACTCTCTCTGTACGAAGCCGTTCCTATAATGTTTGATTAATTTTTATTCTTGTATTGTTTGTTTATATTTTAATTTTGTTTTTTGTTTTGTGATTCAGATGATTCTATTTCTACGTTCAGTATATTCCAGCACCAAAAAAGGTGGGAAATAGCACAATATTGTATCATTTTTGTCCTGTCATAACATTTAATTCATTTCTGTTTTACGAATATACGAATTATCTTAGCTTCTCAGTATTAAGTTTGGTTAATTATTTTTATGTTTATGTTTTTTCGGCTTCCCTACTTTAGATGCTATATAGCTTACATTTGAGGCCTAAACAATGTGCCGTCAGGGTATCCAATAAAATTGGAACCATATAGAAGATAGTGTGTCCTAATTAGAGATGAGTAGTGTCCCGTGTTCTCCTCCTGTAATATTAAGTAGTACTATTATTTTCTTGTCATTTAATAAATGTTTAAACCAAAAATGTTCATAAGGAAATGGTTTTCGTTTGAATACATTATTAGTTTCTATTTGCTTATTTAGTTTTATAATGATAGTGTTCGGGCTAGCTTGCATGCACTTTGACTAATTTATTAGGTGCGTGCTGTCTTCTGCCAGCATAGGTAACCCGTAAAGTTGTCCATCAAGGCTTAGACTGATGGGAGAAAATCACCTAGCTTTTGTTTTTGTTTTGGTGGATTAATTTTTTATTGGAATCTGAATATTTGCAGTCATTTTTTAACAAAAGAAACAGAGAAGGTTATTATTTTGTTATATTTTGACTGATAGAGAGTAAAGAAAGGACTGGAAACATTATTCCAAATTCAATCACCCACTGTGTTATTTTCTGTCTTTCATAGTGATAGGGTTGCTTTGGAATCAAATAATAAACTCTTAGAATTTTAAAGACTCATTTTTATATCCTCCAAAAAGACATCCTACTGGTTCTTAGTTTTTGGGCGAAAAAAGCTCAACTAGATCCACAAACAAGAAATAATTAAGTCAATGCAGTTTTTGAGCATATCTCTTTGATGTCATGCAAAATACTTCAAGACAAATTAGTATTGAAAGAGCAAATTTTGTAGCCGGAGAGGATCTGAACTAACTGAACCTCCTAGACAAGATGCAATGAATGGTGCATTAGTGTGGCTCCTACATGTTAACAAGTTATCAGTATGTTAACAAGTCATTATTGTACTGAGGTCTGTGAAAAGGCTTTCTGAGGGGCTTTTGGTCTTTCAGTTGGCAGAAGCTGTGGACACTCTCTTGGACTAATGATTAGTTTGGGAAGAGTATGAATACTTAAAATAAAGTAGGCTAAATATTCTAGACTACATGTTCAGAGTAAGTGAACGGGACTTGGAATAAATTTGAAGGAATAAAACCGGGAAATTAGAGTTTTCGTATAACCTTAGGTCTATTTCTCATGTAAAGGTTCTGAATGAAACCAAGCAGCAACGAATGTACTTTATTGAGGAAATACCATCAGTGTGGCCTTTCTCAAGCGGTCATTAGAAACTAAGCTAGAGTTTGGACGTAGATTTGATTGAAACTTGAAAAAAGAGTTTTTGTAGTTGTGTTGAAAAATAATTTTTGAAAGTTAGAAGTTGTGTTTGGACATGCATTTTATTTGAAGAAAAGTTAAAGTTTTGTGAGTGGAAGAAAAATTGTCACCTAAAACTGCCCTAAACCAGTTTTTGGGAACTTGAAATTTTGAATATTTTTTCCAAAACATGATCATATTTCATAAACAAACAATGTTTTCAAATTTTTTATTTTGAAAAAATGAAGCCAGGATCTATGGCCAAACGGGAAATTTGCTTATTCATTGCACCTAACATTGGTAACGTACTGTTATCTCAATTTCTTTCAACCCCCAAAAAGAAAAATGTTGAGTTGCCTGATAGATATTACAAATGTGAAGAGGAATTACAGAAAGGAGATGGACATATTAAAACAAGTTATGAGGATATGTACTTCTCTTTCATTGCGGAGAGAGAGGATGTGGAAGCTTTCTAGACCAAAAAAGCCATTAAAGCGTATGTTGCTCGGACTCTTTAAAAATATCGCCGGGTGTGTGTCGGATCCTCCAAAAGTAGTGTACTAAGGATCCGACATGGATGCGACAATATTTTTGAAGAGTTCGAACAATATAGTTGAAACAAGAGGATGAAACGAAAAAATCCTAACGCAAGAATTCCAAAAACAAGAACAAATGAATAATTGCTTACCCCTTTCACTTGGCCAAAACAAGCTCTGAGTTATGAAGTTGTGAGTGAATCTCGTAATGCTTTTTTTTAATGACGGTGAAGTTCAAGCCAGCTTGCGTGCACCTTGGTTATTCCACCGGGTACCTGTCACCTCCCACTAGTACAAATATCAGGTAACTCCGACCACCGAGGCTTAGGTAGATGGAAAGAAATCACCTAGTGTTTTTGTCTCCTCTTGCTTCATTGACCTCTGTAGCACACCCTTGGGTGCAATCCCGTAACGCCGTTAAGTGAAAATAAAAATGTCTTCTCGGAGAAAACAACAAATACATTAAGTCTTTATCAATTTTACAACAACTAAAATCTTTTACTAATGTGTTGATCCTGTAGTGGTCTATGAATTTCTTGAAGACCTGTACCCTTTAGGGTGTTCATTGTTGCTGAAACTGATAAGTGCTTGATTGGTTATACTGTTTCACTTAAGAAATCCTAACACCGAGTTTGTGACTCTAGTTGCTATTTATTTCCATTTCCTTTTCTTTTTCATTTGTTTCTAGGTCCATTACTTTATCACTATACCCCCTTGTTAGGCATCTGATCCTCTATAAGGAGTTTGCATTGATCATGCAGTTTTAGTTATATGAAGCTAACATAGTGTTATTGTCTCTATTTCTCAATTCAGGTCCTAATTCTGCAGAGGCCTTGTTGAAGAAAGATGATAACATTGCATCATCAAAAAAGAAAGATGATAACATTAATGTGGTTGTTTGTAATAAGAACATAGGATCATATCTTGGGTGTGGCCCCTGTGGATGACAAGATGCGGGAAGCAAGGCTCAGATGGTTCGGACACGTGCAGAGGAGAAGCCTTGATGCGCCGGTAAGGAGGTGTGAGCGGTTGGCGGTGGTGGGTACAAGAAGAGGTAGAGGGAGGCCTAAGAAGTATTGGGGAGAGGTGATCAGGCAGCGAATGCGGGTTTCCGAGGACATGGCCCTTGATAGGAAGGTCTGGAGGTCAAGTATTAGGGTTGTAGGTTAGGGGGTAGTAGAACTTTTCTTACTTCTTTCCGGGGGTGAGGCGGGGTTGGATTAGGGTTGGCCTTAGATGGCTTGCAGTTTATGTTGAATACACACTATACTTGCTGTTTATCTGAGCCCCGGGCCTGGTTACTGTATTGCATGTCATCCATCTTTTGATTGTTATGCTTCTGTTACTATTACGATTTCTACTGGAGTTACTAATGAATTGTTTTTTCTTGTTTTTCTTATTTCCATCTTTCTGAGCCGAGGGTCTATCGGAAACAGCCTCTCTGCCCTATCGGGGTAGGGGTAAGGTCTGCGTACACATTACCCTCCCCAGACCCCACTTGGTAGAATTTTACTAGGTAGTTGTTGTTTGATCATATCTTGCTGCAGTGACTATTGATGTACTCTGGATTGTTTTTCCAGCCATTTTATGTTTTACTGTAAGTGTTCTCCGTCTGTGCCATAATACTAACAGTGGTTATGTTTCATTTTATCAAGTCAAATGAGTGATGCAATAAGTTCTCTATTTGTTTGACATCTGAATGAATATGAGAAAAGATTAAGTTGTTGACTTGTTATTATTTCTAGTCATTTGTTGTAGTAGTAGTTGTTTCCTGCGTGCTAAATGATCTTAAGTTTTGACAACTTCATTTAATACCTGATATTCATAATAGATAAAATAACATTCGATCTCAGATTCTGGCAGATTGGACATATATTAATGCAGTTGTGATGACCTTGATGGTGACTTTCTTCATTGTAGCTAGAAGGTGATCAATCACATAATTCATATCTGATATCCAGAATTCTATCGCCATTCCATTAACCTGTTTACATGTATTTCATGTGGCTTCTTGTATGTAAAGGTACTTCTTGTTCAATGCAGATCTGGATTTTCTGTTTCTCAGGAAGAGGGGGTCCGATCTCTCAGGACAAATATATCTGCATATAGGGTTTCTATGGTATGCAGAATAATCATTATTTACATAATGCTTTTATCTACTTTAATCACCTTTCATTTCTGGAGTTACTATTTATTTCTTTAGGGATGATTGCTGCAGAATCTTCTGACATCCGTATGTATTCTGGCTGTTGACTTCAAGATATTTCCTAGAAGATATGCTAAAGCAGAGACCTATGGTACTGGCTTGGTAAACTACTATCTGGGTTCTTTTGCCATACTTTTGCTAAAACCTTGGTGCATGCACTGATGTGCCGCCTGAGTGATGTGGAGCACCCCAACCTGCAGTTTGCTTAGTTATAAGACTTAAACGCAGTTCTAGCGATCTTTTAACTAAACTGGAGCTAGGTTTTAGATTTCATCAGTTTATTATTTTCTTTGTATCAAGTTTCTTTAAGAATCTACAAAAGTAGGATTGAGCTATCCTTCGCAAATCTCTGTTAGACATTTAAACCATTGTAAGATTAAGGGTTATTTCTGGAAGGAACAGAATGGATGATTTGGTGCGATTGTTTCTAGAATAAACAAGGAGTGTTTTATGTTATTGCTAGTGTTACTCTTTCTACACTCATGTTGTTCCAAATATAGCAAGTTACCTCGTATGGTTCTGAAATTTGATTCTTCTGTCTCATTTTAGGCATTGACATGTTAAACGAATCCGGGGTAGCTTTTCACAAAAATGGCTTATTTGCAAGTTGTCATAATGAAAGTTCTTTTCTCGATTCTTCCTTCATTTTACAGTCTCACAGTATTGAGCTCAACATCATTGATTCATTGTTTCTGTTTAAGTTCTTCATACTGGTTGTCAACTTAATACTTTCTCATGAAACTTTTACGTAATGTAAAATGGAGCTGAAATTAGGCACCTTATGTTTACCTTCTTATGTCAGATGGACATTGGAGTAGGTTCGTTTATTGTGGCAAATGCATTGGTTTCACAGCAAGCACGTGGAATTGCAAAAATGTAAATGATGATTCTCGTTTGAACTTTTATCATGAGCTTTGATGAGATGTTACCTCTTGCAGATGGTGCTATATAGTTTGGCCTAATTCTCTTAAGAGTAACAACAACAACATCAACAGACCCAGAGCCCGTTTGGATGGGCTTGTTGTAAATGACTTTTAAGCCAAAAGCCATAAGTTAGGAATTCTAGCTTTTGGCTTTTGGCTTATTTTTGTCATTTTTGCTTAAAAACAAGTGCTTAAAAGCAAGTGATTAAAAGTACTTTTTTACTTTATCCAAACACTACAAAATGGCTCAAAAGCTATTTTGGCTTAAAAGCACTTAAAATAAGCCAATCCAAACGGGCTCCCAGTGTACTCCCACAAATGGGGTCTGGGGAGGGTAGTATGTACACAGACCAGGCCCAGTGTAATTCTCTTAAGAGTATTCAGGCTATTACTCCTATGTTCTCTCTGTGGCAACCAAGCTGGTTAATTGTGCATGTAAATGAACCATGTCAAAATAGCTGGTGGAAAGCAAAAGAAAAATAAATACAGCGCGGAGTGAATTGTTACTTGAACTGACTTTTCCCTTGCCATGCTTTGATATTTTCCCCTAAGTTTATTTGTTGCACGCTTTGTTTATGGCTAACTGATAAGAGTTGAAAATAGCACCACTCAACCACGTAAGTAGGCCGAATTTCTATAGTTAAGTTTGCACCTAGAAAGCTTCAATGATAACTCAATAATGGTGCCCTTAAATAAAGAATGTGGATGGCTAAAGAATTTTTTTTTTCTTTTAATTAGGTGATGCAATAAAACCTCGTCATGTTCATTCTCACCAACATCCCATACAAAAAAGATTTTTTTTTTAATGGTCTAGATGTGATGTTTGATGTCCAAAACTCACTGACCTTTTGGCATTTCATCAGATTCATAAGGTGCTTGAATGGAAAAAATAAGATGCACAGAATTCTTTTATTTATAATTGATTAGAAGGCATTAAAAGAATGGTGCCAGTGGAATGCTTTTCAGTTTCATTATTGGGAAGAAATGGACATTGAGCCTAACTCAACCTCAAAAGCTAGCTCATGAGCATTTTCAAAGACCATGTAAGGAGACAAACAACCCATTCCTCCATCATTGTGGGGCACTTAACACCCCTGCACGCCCAAACAGAGCTGGACAACATAATATTCGGGCCTAACGTTGGGACACATAGTAATAGGGATGGGCTTATCTCTGATGCAATGTACAAGATATAAATACATGAACATTGAATGTAAATTAATCTAAAGAAAAATCCTACAAATCTGCTATCTATATGTGGTCTTTGTACGTTGCTAAGAAGTAGGTCTAGGCTCATTCTTGTAATAATTTCAGATTAGTGCTGCATTATATGTTTAGAATTGCACAATGACATATATATGTGTCTAAGTTTGCTAATTGCTTGCTATGTTCAAGCTTCTATCAAGGGGTTTTATATCTAAAGGATGTTGAAAGTATACTTTTCAACAGCATTTGACTCTTCACTACTACACATTTCCCTTTTGTTGCATCTTCTGTTTGAGTCTAATAAGTTTGAGTGAGGCCTACGGGGTTTGAAATCATGTATTGGAGTTCTTCAGTAGGTTTCATTTAGCAGCGCTGACAAAAATGGCACATGTTTTTGCTCTACAAAATATTCAGAATATTAATTTCTTTTTATCGAGCTCTGGAAACAGTATGCTACAGATTCCCCTGTATTAGGTACACTGCTATCGTGTTTTTCTTAGATGATCTTTTCGTTCCACGAATTTCCAATTGATTATCCTATTTGATTCATTTGATTCTTTGGGGTGCTAAGCATATCTTTCAACTAGTCACCTAGGATGCTTTTTCTTGATTCATCAAGAAATAATATTTTCCGGGAAACCATGTTACAGTACATAATTGATTCCCCTGTACCTGTGCGTTCATATTGAAACATGCAGTCAGATCATGTTTCTTCATTATGAATGTGAGAATTTCTGTTCCATTACTTTTATTCCTCTGATATAAGTAATGGAAGTACAATCAGATCATGTTGTTTCATTCAGAAGTTTAGAACTATTATTTAATTTCTGGTCTGTAGTATCTAATTGATTCTCTTCTTTTACTCCTTCAATAAAGAAATCTGGCAGTTTCTTAATAATCTCTTATATTTTCCAGGAATTTGAGAAATGCAATTTCTTCAACTTGTCCACTTATAGTTCTGGGCTTTGCTTGAATCTTTTTCACATCAACTGTGGATTATCAGGTAAACGGAATCCTAATTCCTTTTTGTTGGGCCATTTCAGCCCGTGGTAATGGTGAGTTAATAACTTGAAAGTAAAGTGTATCCTACCCCACCCTATATGATACTTGCACGAAATTACAAAGAAGCTTTCGAGAATGTCTCATGATAGTTCGTCTCAATCATGAACTTTTGGTTTACTGATCTGTTGTCTGTATTTCTGATTATGGTCAAATATATCTCAACTTTGAAATTATGTTGTTTACTAGGGGTCCCCTTCCTTTGGTTGTTGTCATCCTTTGCAGTGTGGATAGCATGCTAAATGAATAGTAAGAATCCTAGTTTTTATTTTTTAGTTTCTTTTATTTTTGTTGCACCTTATGTTCTCAAAATGACATGTCACTTTCTTAATTAGTGTACTGCGAAATTTGGCGACAGGATTGCCCAATGTTTTACTTGCATGGTGTAGTCACTTCCATCTAATAGTGAAGCCAGAACAATAGTCATGTCAAAATTAAAATCCACAATCATCTCAGAGAAACCAGATCTTTGGTTTAATGCTTTACAGTTCTATTTCACAAGATATTCTTATTTTCCTGTGTTTGGCTACAGCAATCATCATTAACTTTTCTCATCATATTGTTCTGTCAAAATGGTAATTTTAGATGGGTCCATAAGCTTCATAGTCTTCTAGTTTTGAACTTTCTCTCTGACGTACTACTTACCTATGTATGATTCTGTTGTATGTTGAATTAAATGCATCATATGTCTGTACTACTGGTTACAGATGCTTCTCATGAAATTTACCTGCAAAGTTACTATGTTCCTTTCTTCATCAGCTTTTGGTGGGCATTTCTTCGGTCTATATCACTTTCTATGTATTTGTTGAATGAGCTGGCAGATTGATCATAATCTGCTCCTTGAATGTGCTGGCAGATTTGATTATAATTTGCTTATGTAAATATGGTACAGTAGATATTTAGGAAAATTTGTTAGAATTTATTCTAGGAAACTAGTTTAGATGTAATCCCTTGATTGAAGGATCTCCTAAGAATTAGAGATTGATTAGCTGCTTTGATTGTACCTATTGTCCTATAAATACTGTACAATTCTATGAATAAAGTATGCCTTTTCTGTGTCCAAAGTTTCATGGTATCAGAGCGGGACTTTCCTTCCTAATACCTTATGGCCAAAACAGCCTTTCACGGAGAGTGCCACTTTGCAACATCAACAGAAGCCGAAAGTCCTTCTCTTGAAGCTCCGACAGATAAAATGGTGACACAAGGAGGCGATTCCACTCACATGTCCTTCCAACTAACTTCTCATCGATTAAACAGGAAGAACTATCTGGAATGGGCACAGTCCGTAAAGCTTGCAATCGATGGCCGTGGAAAACTAGGACATCTGACTGGAGAGACGAAAAAGCCGGAAGTAGGAGACCCAAAGATGAATGCCTGGAGATCAGAGAACTCACTCGTGATTGCCTGGCTAATAAATTCCATGGATCCAGTCATAGGTAAATCTTATCTTTTTCTACCCACTGCTAGGGATGTGTGGGAAGCCGTTAGGGAGACATATATAGAAAATGCTTCTCAGATATTTGAGTTAAAAAGTAAATTTTGGCAAGCTAAGCAGGGTGAGAGGGAAGTAATTGCTTTTTATAATAAAATGGTATCTCTATGGCAGGAGTTAGATCAGTGTTACAATGATGAATGAGAGTGCCCTGCCGATAGTGTGAAAGCAAGAAAAAGGGAAGAAAATGAGAGAGTTTACCTTTTTTTAGCAGGATTAAATTGGGAGGTTGATGAGGTCAGGTCACGAATCCTAGGAGAAAACCCTGTGCCTTCACTTCGTGAAACCTTTTCCGAAATTAGGAGAGAGGAAACTAGGAGGAAAGTTATGTTAAAACCTGATTTGAACCTTGAACTAAAACCTGTTGTAGATGTTTCAGCACTTGCAACAGTGAAAAATGAAGATGATAAAAGGAAAAAGCCATGGTGCGATCATTGCAAAAAAACTCTCATACCCGTGAAACATGTTGGAAGATTCATGGGAAACCACCAAACTGGAAGAAAAAAGGAGTTGACAATCGGGGCATCCAATCTCAACATGGTCAGGCCCCCAAACAACCTATTTTGATCAGGGGCAGCAACCTACTCCAAAAACGTCTCCATTCACAAGGGAAAAAGATTGAAGATTCTCAACACTATCAAAAGTCTGATCCACAAGACCTCACTGGAATTCAAAGTAATCTTCCAACAAAGTCTAATTTTAATTCCTTCTCAGATTTGGATCTTCCGATTGCAAAACGCAAAGGTGTCAGAAATACTCCTAAACATCCTATTTCTATGTTTCTGTCCTATGAAAAGTTATCTCCCAATTATTCCGCCTTTATCTCACAACTTTCTACTGTGGAGATTCCAAAAAATGCGCAGGATGCTCTACGAGTTCCAGAGTGGAGGGAGGCTATTTTGGAAGAAATGCGAGCTCTTGAAAAGAATGGGACACGCGAATTGGTGGATCTACCAAAGGGAAAGAAACCAGTGGGTGTTCACCACCAAATTCAGAGCAGATGGATCTTTGGAGAGGTATAAGGCCCGCCTAGTAGCTAAGGGATTCACGCAAACATATGGCGTTGACTATTTGGAGACGTTTGCTCCAGTAGCTAAGCTAAATTCAATTAGAGTCCTCTTGACAATCGTGGTAAATCTTGACTGGCCTCTCCAACAGTTGGATGTGAAGAATGCTTTCTTGAATGGGCAACTAGAGGAAGAAGTCTATATGGATCCTCCACCAGGTTTTGAAGGAAAGTATAAGTTGAAGGTATGTAGACTCCGAAGATCTCTTTACGGTCTAAAACAGTCTCCACGGGCTTGGTTCGAAAGGTTTACTCAATTCGTAAAGAAGCAGGGGTATGTGCAAGGACAAGCAGATCACACAATGTTTACCCGACATTCACTAGAAGGAAAAACAACAGTTCTTATAGTGTATGTCGACGATATCATCCTTACAGGAGATGACATGGTTGAAATAAAGAATCTGAAGGAGCACCTTGCCTCAGAATTTGAGATAAAAGATTTAGGCCCGCTGAAGTACTTTCTCGAATGGAGGTTGCACGATCGAGGAAAGGAATTGTAGTGTCACAACGAAAGTATGTACTTGATTTGTTACAAGAAACAGGAATGAGTGGTTGTAGACCAGCTGAAACTCCAATTGACCCAAATCTAAAGTTTGGAAATAAGGAAGGGAAATTGATTGATAAAGGCCAATATCAGAGATTGCTAGGCAAGTTGATTTACTTCTCTCATACTAGACCTGATATTGCCTTTGCTGTGAGCCTAGTCAGCTAGTTTATGCATTCTCCGCATGAAGAACATCAACAAGCTGTATATCGAATCCTAAGGTATCTAAAGAGCTCTCCTGGGAAAGGGTTGTTCTTCCAGAAGAAGGAGCAAAGAAGTGTTGAGGCTTATACTGATGCGGGCTGGGCTGGATCATTTAGTGATAGAAGGTCTACATCTGGATATTGTACATTTGTTTGGGGAAATTTGGTAACATGGAGAAGTAAGAAGCAAAATGTGGTGGCTCGTAGTAGTGCCGAGGCTGAGTATCGATCCATGGCACACGGAATTTGTGAAATGTTGTGCCTCAAGAGACTTTTGGAAGAACTAAGAAGACCTATGAGTTTGCCAATAAAGTTGTACTGTGACAATAAGGCTGCCATAAGCATTGTTCATAATCCAGTTCAACATGACAGAACAAAGCATGTCGAAGTGGACAGACACTTTATTAAAGAGAAGACTGAAGATGGAAGCGTGTGCGTGCCTTTTGTTCCAACAACTGAACAAGTTGTGAATATTTTCACAAAAGGTCTTTTTAGAACTACTTTTGAGTTTTTTTGTCAGCAAGTTAGGCATGTTCGATATTTACATGCCAACTTGAGGGGGAGTGTTGAATGAGCTGGCAGATTGATCATAATCTGCTCCTTGAATGTGCTGGCAAATTTGATTATAATTTGCTTCTGTAAATATGGTACAGTAGATGTTTAGGAAAATTTGTTAGAATTTATTCTAGGAAGCTAGTTTAGATGTAATCCCTTGATTGAAGGATCTCCTAAGAATTAGGGATTGATTAGCTGCTTTGATTGTACGTATTGTCCTATAAATACTGTACAATTCTATGAATAAAGTATGCCTTTTCAGTGTCCAAAGTTTCAGTATTATAGCTGTTAGAAGTCGCTCCCTTCCTCATCATAGGTTCACGTTGGTGAATATGGTGTGCACTGGAATTTCTTTTTCACTCTTGCTGCCGTGGCAAGTTTGACATTGATGGTTAATCTTTCGCCAAGTAATTGTGGAATTCTGGGCTGGTTTATTCTATTAGATATTGTTGCAACCTTGGCCCATCTAAAAAATTTGGGTACCTATGCTTTGTAAGCCTATAATGTTCTTTGTCGTTTTAGGATATGAGGCCTTCTTGTTGCTTTGGCTAAATGAATATCTTCTTTCAAGCTAAATAGGACCTGACATCATCAGCCAAAACAAAGAAGGAATTTTTAGCATTTTTGGTAAGTATTATTGTGAAGTAAAATCTTCATAAAAACATAAAAAAATTTGTGAAATGAAATTAGAGCGCGCGCTCTCTCTCTTTCTCTCTCTCGCTTGCTCGCGCGCACCATGCGTTTGCTTACTCTCTTGTTCAGTTTTATGGTTTCTTTGTGTCAATCTGGAAATGCATGGGAGAAGAGACTGGTTGGTTGCCCCTTTAAGTTTTAACTTGGAATCACAAATTCCTCCTTTATCTAGAACTTGAGACTAGCTTACATAGGTGGCGTTAAGAAAAGGTACCAATATATGTATCTTTTTTTAAAGATCTGGGTCGCAATGCTTGTAAATCAAACTAAACTTCACAGTATAATTAACCATGATAAGTTCCTACATAGTACTATTCGGACTAAGGTGATTCGCAAATTCTAAATTTATTCTAGCAAGAACTGGGGCATTTATTTAGTTTTTGGGTTTTTCTTTGGTCAGTGTAAGCATACACGTGTAAAACTGCTTCCTAATGCTAATTTGTTTGAGCGGAATTATTATGTAAATAATGCGTGGACTTATTTAGGTGAATTTTGGGATGTGGGCCGAGAGAACTGAAGAAAAGATACCTAAATGTAGAAAAAATTATGAACATTTTGTTTCCAAATGCTTATAGATCAAAAGAATAAAAAAAGTTAAGCTAGAGGTAAATTCAGTACGTTCTGGATATTACTGAAAATATTGCAGTAATCACATATTCACATCTTGCAAGTTGGTCCATGTAGTGTAACTTTATTGTAGTAAGAACTGAGAATTCATTTTCTTTTATGGTTCTTCCTGTTAGATATTTATATAGTTAATGTATTAGTCCGAGTCCTATATTGGGTAGGAGTAGGATCTGTATTATGTATAGTTATAAATAGGGCTCATTGTATTATAATTAATTAACCAAAATGTAAGATTTTTCTCCCGTGCATTCTCACTTGGTATCAGAGCTTCAGTGAAAAACAATAGCTGTGCGTCATTCCAGCCACATCCGGGAAGAAAGAACTCAGTCACCGTGCAATTTTCCGGTGACCTAAGTGACTGTTTGCGTCAAAGTCACTATTTATCAGTGTTGTGAACAAACCAATACCACCACAAAGTCCGCCGTAGCCCCGCGACCAAATCCCAGAAAACCCACCGGAAAACTCATTGCCGTGCGCTGGGCAGAGTCAAGATTTTCCGGTGAAATCTGTGCACGCAGCGGGCACGTGAGACCCCTTCCAGCCATTTTTCGACGAACTTCCTTCAGGAAAGGTCACTCGCACAACAGTTCCGAGTCGACCATTGCTATCCCTGACAAATTCCGACAACTTTGGAATTTTCCGGCGAGCTACAGTGTTTCCGGCGTGAACAATGTTTACGGCATAAAATAGTGTTTTGTTTTTTCTGCTGTGAACAGTGTTTTCCCAGCTATTTCTTCAGTTTTCCTGCCGGAGTTACTGATTTCCACTATTTCAAGTTAACCCTACTACTTTTAGTCAAGATTTTGAGAAATAAATTGTAGCGAAATGGGATCCAATAGTATGAATGGTTGGATGGTTTCTTTACCGGATTATATTGAATTCCTTCAGTACAAAGCACGTAAACAGACATGTTCAGGATTAGCCTCCGTTGTTCCAATAGATAGTAGTGTGACTTGTGTCTCCCAATCTTCAACCTCTGAGCCTTGGGTCATTGATTCAGGTGCATCTGATCATATTTCTGGTAACAAATCTCTTTTCACTAGTATTTCATATTCTCAATCTCTTCCAACGGTCACAGTGGCTAATGGGTCTAAGCCATGGCAACTGCAATAGGTCAAGCAAGTCCACTTCCTTCCTTACCTTTAGACTCTGTTCTTTATGTTCCCGGTAGTCCTTTTAATCTCATAGCCGTTAGTCGCTTGGCCAAATCACTTAAGTCTGCTGTTTTATTTCTCGATGATCTTGTTTTTATACAGGAACGCAGTACGGGGCAGATCATTGGTACCGGACGTGAATCAGATGGACTTTATTACCTTATCCTTGCAAAATCACATGGACTCGCATCTTGTCTGCCTTCAATAACTTGTCCCGTTAGTGATTCACCAGATTTATTACATAAACGGTTGGGACATCCCAGTTTGTCAGAACTTCAGAAAATGGTACCTGGCTTATCTCACTTGTCCACTCTAGAGTGTGAATCATGTTAGCTTGGTAAGCATGCCCACTCCCATTTCCCGCGGCGTCTTGATAATCGAGCAGAGTCACCTTTTACTTTAGTCCATTCAGATGTTTGGGGTCCTAGTCGGGTCAGTTCTACCTTGGGATTCCGCTACTTTGTCAGTTTCATTGATGATTATTCCAGGTGCACTTGGATAATTTTTGATGAAAAATCGATCTGAGTTGTTTTCTATTTTCCAGACCTTCCACGCTGAAATTCAAAATCAATTTGGGGTTTCTATCCGCACATTTCGTAGTGATAATGCCCTAGGGTATTTGTCTTCCCCATTTCAGTAGTTTATGAACTCCCATGGGTTTATTCATCAAAAATCTTGCCCGTACACATCCCAACAAAATGGGGTAGCTGAAAGAAAGAATAGACATTTTATTGAAACTGCTCGTACCCTACTCATACAATCTCATGTTCCGCTGCGTTTTTGGGGGATGCAGTTCTTACATCTTGCTATCTTATTAATCGTATGCCATCTTCAGCTATCCAGAATCAAGTTCCATTCTCTGTCCTGTTTCCCCACTTACCTTTGTTCTCTCTTCCCCTCCGTGTCTTTGGAAGTACGTGTTTTGTTCATGACCTTACTCCAGGAAAAGATAAGTAAGCTCCTCGTGCTCTTAAGTGCATATTTCTGGGTTACTCGAGAACGCAAAAGGGATATCGATGTTATTCTCCCGACCTCCAGCGATTTCTTATGTCTGCTGATGTTACCTTCTTTGAAACCCAATCATGCTTCACAGGTCCAGTTAATCACTTAGATATTTCTGAGGTGCTACCAGTTCCGTCTTTTGGAGATTCAGTCACTATCTCCCATTCATCTTCCTCCATAGCTCCAGTTGCAGCTCCACCACCTATAGCTCCAGTGCCACCACCGAGTCTAGTGCCACCACCTAGTCCAGTTCCACCAACTATAGCTCCAATGCCACCACCTAGTTCAGTTCAACCTTCTACAGCTCCAGTTCAACCTTCTACAGTATGTAATTAGTCCTAGTCCCTTATGTAATAGGAGTAGGTTATGTGTTATGTATACATATAAATAGGGCTTATTGTAACATAGAATATTAATCAATAAGATTTTTCTCCCGTGCATTCTCACAATAGATAACTTATGTTGAAGTAAAGTATATCATGGAGTATTTAAGGGTAGAAAAGTTTGTGGTCCAATTGGTATACTTATAGAGGTTTTGAAGTGCCTTGGTGAAGTTATATGATGGCTAACCAAGCAATTCGAGCTATATTAAGGAAAGAAAGATGCAAAATGAGTGGAGAAAGAGTAGATTGGTTCCAATATATGAGAACAAAGGAGATAAAGATGTGCGAACTGTTGTGATATTAAACTTACGATTTATACAGTAGAACTTTGCGAAAAGAGTGATGGAGCATGGATTTAGGGACATTAAGCTTGACTGAGTGAGTTTATTCTTGGTAGTTTGATAACAGCGAAGATTGATAGAAAGTTTTAGAGGAAGAAAGATATCTACATGAGATGCAGTGAACTATGGAAAGCATATAATAGAGTGCCAATGAAAGTCCTTTGCAAAGGATCCATATCAAATATAAGTGGTATTAGAGATATGTACGAAAAAGCAGTTACAAGTATGAGAACCGTGGGAAGAGATACAAAGAGATTTCCGTTAACCCTGGTTTACACAAAAGATCTTCCTTGAACCCGATACCTAACAAAGTGATAGCAAATTCTACACATTGGTTGTGGGACCAACATTATACGTGAGTAGGTGTAGTGTCTCAGGGATACAATATATCCACAAGATGAATGTCCTAGAAATGCACAATTTAATATGGATACGTCTGAATTCAAAATGATTATATCAAATAGAGGGTGCAAGTAGTACATAAAGGATAAATAAAAGAATTTCGTTTGTAGATGGTTTGATCATGTTCTATGTACCTCAAATAAGTTGGTTTGTAGGTGTGGACTGATTGAAGGTGCTAAAAGAGTATAAGGTAGACATAGAATCACATGAAAGGAAGTTGTCCTAAAAAAACACAGGATTTGTCAAAATCAGTGCATATTTTAGGTAAAGACAGAAGATAATGGAAGTAAATTATCCATATAGACTGTACCAGCTGGTTGGAATTTGGTCTAATTGTTGTTTTTACAGTTACATTACATCTGTTACTTGTCAGGAATATTTATATTTTGGTTAGAAACTTGTATGTCAGTGTCAAAATAAGTGTAGGATTTAGAGAACCTCTTGTTTTAGAGAATTCTTAATTGCTTTAAAGACAACTATGTACCAGTAGAGCCGAGGGTCTTTCGGAAACAACCTTTCTCTGCGTACACTTCACCCTGCCCAGACCCCACTTGTGGGATTCACTGGGGTGGTTGTTGTTGTATGTAGCAGTATCAGAATGAAATGGATACAAATAGAGAGAGTGGATTTAAAGGATTCATTTAGCTGATCAGAATGGATATCGATCATATGTTTGACCCCCAAACAGAGTATGGAATTGAAGGATTATTGATTAGTTGATCACTCATCACTTATTTCAGAACTTGATAAGTTAATTGAAAGTGGAAATCCAAGAGATAATAAGAGATAAAGAAACAGAAGTTGCTTTGAGCTCTGTGAAAATAATAACTATGAAGCACAAAGAGTTTCATCACTACTTACTAGAATAGCATGGACCAAACTGTGACTTATAAGGAAGGCTAAACTCTAAATTTCTCCAAGAAGTTAATTAGTTTGGGGTCATTTGTGCAGTTTAGTGAAAGGACGTCTTTGAGTAATACGACAAAATGGATGTAAGCCCAGGACTGGAGGATAGATGGTTACGTCTTGTCTGTTCGTAAATGCTAATTATATTTCACTTTTTGTGGTAGATTGACTACATTCTTGAGTGAAGTAGGACGCTTATAATTTTTCTTCTAAGATTGAACTTAATATACACTTATACAAACTAAGTGTTGCTTTTTCGAAATGTTGCGAACACATTTTCAAAAAGTTTGGTCAAAAGTAGATTCATTTCTCTTTCGGTAAGGGAACAGCACCGGACTTCTGGATAGGGGAAGACTTTAATTAATTTTCATGCTTTCTTGGGAAGAACTTCTGGATTACTTGAGCAAATTTCTCTTGAATGCAATGATGCATAATTTCATAACGCAATCTGCTGGCATGATTCCGTATAATGTTTCATTTCTTTTTTGATTTAGGCATGGCTCAACGTTTCTCTTTTTCAGGTTTTTGCAGTTTTAACTCTAGCTGATTATGTACCTGGATATAAAGTGGCTGCGTTGATAGAAGTTTTTGACCGTAACTTACTGGGCTCTTTTCTTCTGGTGAGAAAAATTTATTGCTGGCATCATCGTTCTATAATGCTTTCTGTTCATCCTTTGATCTCTGGATGATCAGTCACAAAATCGACATTTGATCATGCAGGCTAACGTGCTAACAGGATTGGTTAACCTGTCCATTGATACCCTCTCTGTCTCACCATTCACTGCACTTGCTATCTTGGTTGGATATGCATACATTTTATCTATTGCTGCAGCAGTTGCACATTTTTGTGGTATTCGATTGAAGTTTTGGTAGGGGAGCTTAGTCTAGTTTACTCTAATTTCATTCATTCTTTAACCCCTCCATTACATGACTGTTCTTAATTGTTATACTTGTAATAGATCCTGTGTGTCTACATTAGATTCTGAAATCGAGGCATTGGATTCACTTCTATTCGCTGTGGCTGAACAATCTTATATTTTTCCCTCACTCCCTCTCTCATTCCCTCCATAGAAGAGGAAAAAAAAGTACCTGTTGATTTAACCGCGATACAGAACACTATTTCTGCTCATTAGAAAATGCTCATTGAGAAGGGTATGAGAGAAATGGGCGAAACATACTCACATGAGCATGTTATTGCAGCCCAAATCATATGCTCTTGCTGTGCTGCAACACCCAAAAGGAGCATGTGTGACAGGAAGCAGCAGACAGAGTGAGGCCTAAATCCCTTTTTTGCATTCTTTGTGCATGCATCGGAATGGATTGTCTGTGGCCGTACATAAATATCAAATACTCGGGCAAGAAAAGGAAGCCAAGCTCAAGCCCCATTTGAGAAATGGTATTAACGGGTCCCCATACGGTCCCAGAAAAAAGGAAGTGGGAATACTAGTGCTAATAATACTCCTTCCGTCCCAGTTTATGATACTTTTTGCAGCTCTAGATTCAGGCTATATGAACTTTGAACAATATTTTAAATTGTAAATTTTTCATCATATTGACATGAGAAGTATTGCAACTTATAGTACTTTTTATATAATTTTTGAATATTTAAATTTTAAAATATTGAGTTGATATGATTTAATTTAGCTTCGAAACTTAGTCAAATTGATTTTAGAAAAGCACAAAGTGTCACATAAATTGAAAAGGAGACGGTGATAGACAAAGAGTTTTAGATTTGAATGCAGATGATTGCAGAAATGTACTTTAGAAGAGCAAGCTTTGGTTGGTCACATGGATTTTGGATACCCTATACAGAGGGCCTGACAGGTTGGACCATTGTCCAACGTCCATTCACCCGTCCTCTTCTCCAGATAAGGTGACATTTCCTGTGTTTCTACTTTCTTTGTCTTTCACATGGTTCTTATCTACAGTTTACCTTCCTATTCTTCTTCATCTCTCACTCTCTCTTTCTGTCTTTTTTTTTCTCTTTTCTTTCGAGTTATTATTTTGCCCTTGCCTTTTATTGCTTTGGGCTTTTGGTGAACTCTCTATTTATCATATAAGGTTTTTATCTGTGATCGTCAAGAACAAGGTACACCAACGTTGATGGATGACATGCTTTTACGCTATAAAACATCTTTATATTCTTTTAATAATGATGGTGTTCGGACCAACATGTGTTTTAAACTTTTAATATACTAAGTAGTCTGTTATAGTCTGCAAGAGCGGCAGGTGTAGGTAAATCTAATAGACTCATACTGAATGTTATATATATAGCCGGGATTAACTCAAGGTGCTTGATAAAGAAGTGGAGCTATTTCATATATTGGGTTGAAGACTATTAAAACAAGATTTCAGTTGAATTAATTAGTTAGTATTTTCTAACTAATTAACTCAAGGTGCTTGATAAAGAAGTGGAGCTATTTCATATATTGGGTTGAGGACTATTAAAACATGATTTCAGTTGAATTAATTAGTTAGTATTTTCTATCTCGCAAAACTCCCAGTTCCTTTGTGGTAGTAACAATAACTTTCTTTGAATCACAAACTTGTCAATCTCTGTAGGCTTCAGCTGACTCTAATAAATAATGCTTATTTGAGGAGGGAGGAAGGGGGTGGGGGAGGTTTGCTAGTAATTGAAAGTTGTGGATTTCTCAAAGGGATAGTTTAGCAGCTAAAATGTCACACCTTAGCATTATTAGAAGTTTGAATATTTTGATATCCAAGTAGAGTAGGACAAGGGGAAATGACAAGTTGATGTCAAAGTATGACTCAAGTATAATGGAGGGACCCAAGTGAGCATTTACCGTTTGCGCAAAGTTCCAAATATTTTCATGATATCATTTCAAAATCTATTGTCCGAAAATGAGCTCCTAATTAATGAGTTGATTAACTAACATGTGTCATGTGTGGTAGATAGAATTCAGTCAATGATAGAAGCATTGAACAATAAATATGCATGCATCATGCATTCTATTTACGTAATAGTTAGGCTTTTCGTATGGCAGCTTTTACTCTCCATTGTACCTACTATCAGATACACGTTCATAAAAACTATTGTAAAATGGCATGACACATTAGAATAGTAATGGAACAAGAGCGTGTATTAGACTTATACGCATCGTTGTGCTCACACATAATGTGGTACAATGCTGGAGGTTGCATGTTAGCATTCTTAATTAGTTTTGGCGTTAGAATTGCAGTCTAATTCCGTTCTACATTTGTTGAGTGTCGGGCCTTAATTCGTTCGTTTTTCCCAGTGGTCTTCATGAGTTCTCCTCCATCCATAAGGAAAATATGCTCAATTAGTTGTACAAGAAGACTTGTTAGTGTATTTGGTCTACAAGAAAATAGAGATGCAAAGGTGAAAGATAAGTCAAAAAAATGAATCAGGAAAAAAAACTTCCATTCCAAAGGAGGTATTGAGGAACGGAAAGGAAAAAGGGGTGGTGCCAATCGAATCTGCATACGTGGAGAGACCTATAGCATGTTTGGCCAAGCTTTTAAAATCTATTATTTTGAAAAGTGATTTGAAAAAATAGTATTTTTGGTGATAAACAGTTTGTATTTGGCTAAATTATTTAAAAAGCATTTTTGAGCAGCAATTTGTGTTTGCCAGTTTTGTTTGGGGACAAACGATATTCGGTTAGGCTTGTGGCTGGATCCTTTTAGATCTATGGGCTGGCCGGCCCCGACCGTGTACATGAGCATAGGGAATCTATACTCAAGCGTTCCACTGGCCCCTGACAGGATATGTGAGGAATCACTCTGGATCTTCTTTTTTTGGGCTACAACTTCGCCGAGCCGACTAGCATCCCTTTCCACTATGCATTTTTCGAACAAAGAAGACGACTATAGGATCGAATTCTCATCCTAAAAGGACTCCTTTAGCTTTGGGGTTGATTTACGTGGCTCAAGACTTTGAGTCAAGAGGTCAGGTGTTCAGAAATGTGGTGATGCGGCATTGGCATTTTTTAGCAAATTCATCATATAGCTTGCCTTCTTTTTATTTACGTGGCTACATACTTGTAGCGATCAAAGGGCATATTTACTTCTGATGTTTCTAAGTGTATTTTTCTCAAAATGTACTAAAAAATACTTTTGGGAAGAAGCTATTTTGTTCTGCTTCTCAAAAATTGCTTATGTTTCTACTCAAAAATACTTTTTTTCCCCTTCTAAAGCTTGGCCAAACACCTTACCTTTAGAGAAAAGCACTTTTGGCCCCGAAAAAACTCTTTTGTCCCAAAAGAAGCTTAGCCACACATGCTATTATTCTGATACCACCAAACTATAGGCCTTGGTACAAAAAGCCGTGCTTATTGCACCTCTTGTGATTCAATTATCAATCCAAGAGTCGTGTCATAATTTTTTAATTTCATATTGATCTTTCAATGTCATTAAGAGGTTGATAATAATTACTGTCTCCGTTTTAATTTAGATGATATAGTTTGACTTGACACAAAATTTAAAAAAAAAAAGACTTTATAAAATATATGGTTCTAAAAGCTTAAGGGCAAAAGCTTTCTGGGATCATGTCATTTCTGTGGTTATAAAAGCTTTTTATTAAGGATAAAATGGGTAAAATGAAAAGTTTGAAGTTATATTATTTTCAAATATAGAATGTGTCATTTTTTTAACAGATTAATAGGGAGAATGTGTTATTCAAATTGAAACTGAGGGAGTACCTGATAGATGATTTTTGCTTTTTTGTAGAGATTAGGGCGATTGTTTCTCACTAGAAAAAAATAAGTGGATTTTCAATTATTTAATCGAGACATCTATATTATATTAAAAGGAGGGTAGTATGCATTGTGGTTAAGCCAAGTGGCAAGCAAAAATGAAGCCACTTGGCAATTTTAAGACAACATTAATAATTAAAAATTATAAATAAAAACATAATTAATGGAAGTACTTGAATGAATCTTATACATAAACTGAATAGATCTTCTACAAATATATATATAT